ATGACCAAAATCATTGAACGCAACTCTACCATTCCATGCAAACAAATGCAAACGTTCACTACGTACTCGGACAACAGCCAAGCCGTCACTGTTCAGGTGTTCRAAGGTGAAAGGGCCCTGACAAAGGACAATAATCTGCTGAGAACGTTTGACCTGACTGGCATACCTCCAGCGTCCAGAAGAATACCCAAGATCGAAGTGACTTTCGATATGGACGCCAATGGGATTTCGAACGTTTCGGCCAAGGACAATAGCTCTGGGCGCTCCAAGAACATCGTCATCGAAAACGACAAAGGCCGTTTGTCTCAAGCTGAAATCGATCGTATGCTCAGCGAGGCCGAACGTTATAAAGAAGAGGACGAACGACAAAAAGCGAAGATTGAGGCCAAAAATCAGTTGGAGAGCTACGTGTTAAACAGGTGTTGGAAGAGGCCGGCGACAAGTTGACCGAATCTGAGAAGAAAACCAATATAAAGGAATGCAAAACGGTCATTCAGTGGTTGGATAGCAATCAGTTGGCAGAAAAAGACGACTACGAGTTCAAGCTAAAGGAAATCCAAAATAGCTGCTCAACTCTGATGTTGAAGATACGTGGCGCACGATAAGCCTTAGCAACTAATCTGCCTCCCGGTGCTAATGGTTTCCATGGAGCCGGTGGCCGAGGATCTAACGTTTAAGAAGTCGATTAATTCTTCTGTAATTATTATAAGACCTAATATTTATAAATAACATTGTCAACTTTATCCTATACTTTTTCCTACTATACATAACTAATTAAGTTTTCACTAAAAATTTAAGTTTAGATTTATCAGTCTATTGCACCTCATAATTATTATGTTARGTATTGGTAAAACAAATATCAGTTCCTTATTTAGTATACATTTTGTATTTTTGTTTTACMACTTATTATTGCTGCAATCCGCAGTGAAAACACTATGTTGTCACATATCGTACTATAACACAGTTAGTTTGATTCACACACGTCATATACTATCGAGTAATACTTACTAGTATTAACTACCTACTATTTACTAGAAGGTAGTAACTGACCTATTGTTAACAGGTACCTATTAGTGTAGTCCGAGTAGTTATATGTAGTGACGGATTACCCTTTTCAGCACCCTGAGTGTTTACCACCCCTCCCTCCAATTTTTAACACTATCCAAAGATCGTAATTTGAATGGGCTAACATCGAAGAATAATGGTTAACTGGGTATAAGCAACTCGAAAGTGAAAAATGGTACAGGGGTATTATAGTTGAATAATTATTAATTTACACTAAAACATACAAACCCACCCACAGTCCATACTACACAGGCATTTACTAATAACGATAAACAATATTTAATATCTACATAAAAATAATTTATGTAAATAACAAACGTCTATTTTTATACTTCCTTGGACCTAAAATTAAAATGTTGTGATTTCATATTGATGATGTTATTAAAAAAAAATTAAAATATTTTGGCGATATAATATATAATAATTTTCATGGCACGCTCAAAAACAAAACAAAACGTAATTTTTGACATTAAGTGTTCAAATTTTCAAATAATTTGATACCCCTGCTAAAACAGGTTGTAGTGTAATGATGGAAGTTTTTTCAATTATCACATATGTACTTAGTGAAACATTAAAATAAATTCCCAAGACCATAGGCTGTGAGATACTGCTATATAACCTACACTGATTAAATAGTTTAAAATTTACATTGTGGCAAAAACCTGATATAAATAAGTTATTAAGATGTTTCACATGAGTTGTTACCATCTTTCAAGTGCATAACATAGCAAATGTTAAGTTCAGCAATTACAATTTAGCTCCATTAGTTTAAAATTGGAGTGAATTTACCTCTTATAAAAATTAAAGGTAACATTATTATCAATATTATTAACATAGGCTTTATATTTTATTTCAAGGTATACAAACAATTTATATTTTTAAAAATACTCACTTCAAAATAAAAATATAATAAAAATCCCATATGATAACCTAGATAATAATGTTACCTTAAATTTTTATTAGAGGTCAATTCACTTTAAAYTTTAAACTAACAGAGCTAAATTGTAACTTTTTGAAAAATTT